CAAAAGTTAAAATTAATCACGTGAGAAAAGATTGTGAAAATACGAAAGAAGCATAAGAACTGAAAATGTGATCAGCAGGGCAGATTGATCGTGTGTATTTTCATTCATAACCTCACCTCAATGAAAATACCAAATATGTCTTACAATGTTGACGTACGTATGACATCACTATCGGGAAGCAACGCTCTCAAAATGGCCTGTTCACTGACACGAGTACGCCGGATTTTTCGATGGAAAGTTTCGTTGCTTCAAGCAACGTATATACATACATGTGACATGTAAGTAGTCCGAGACATTCTGACAATCGGCTGGTTGATATTTTCCTTTGGCTTTCATTGTGACCAATGGAAATAGTCAGAAATAAGGAGAATTTCTATCGCCGGTGTTCGTGAGTTTGCGTCAGTCACGGCGTCACGCTTTCAGAAGCTATATTATGTTCTGATGAATCTGATGAATCTCGGAAATCATTGGAATACACCTATTTTATTTAACTATCGCTTGCTACGATACCTTTCCCAGGCATGGTCTAAAAGTAATGAGCAAGTGTATGCAGCAAAAGTAGGCGAACAGATACACATCTAGTGAAATGTGAGATTGGCTTTGTTTACATTTCAAACAAGTGGTCTTTTCCCAGGGCGGAATCTGATACATTTCCTTAGATTTTACCGAAACACTTAGTATTGGTGACAAAGACCATTTGTCATTTTATTTTGAACTGTATGAGGAATTCTGGGATTAGTACTTTAAGAGCACGTGGGACGGGATTTCTAAACACACTGCAATATAGCTGAAAAATCACTTTGACGTTAACTGCGTATTTTTCAAAATATTCTTAGCGATTTTCTGTTGAATCGACAATGTTTCAGAACGAGCATTGGTATTCCGATCAAACAACAACAATAAAAAAAGATACGGTTTTTTGTGTTTTTTTCTTCTGTTTTTTGTTTTCTTTTAAATTCAAGTCTCCCATATTAAGGCTTCAATACTATAAATTAAACTGGCCAGATTTACGATGCATGTAATTTTCAGTATACTTGCCTTACAATGGGCGTCAGAGAAATGGTGTCATAGAAAAGCGAATTTTAAACAGAATTAAAAACTGCCACTTGCATTCATGTTCGTAATGTATTTGGATATGGTAGCGATAGGTAGGAAGAGTGGAAGTGGTGGGACATATATTGTACGATTTATGTTGGAATTAAGTAACAAATGTAGAATGCCGACACATTCACCGATGGCAAGCTAGATGTAGTGCATAAACGTTTTAGTATTTGTGAAAAGCGATACTGTTGAAAGACGACCGACTCAGGTTGAATGTTGTAGTATTTGGTTACGTGGTAACACTGTTTGTACAATGTATACGTTTTTTCCAAACTGCAACGTCATCTCTGTGTGGAACTGACTACAGAGCCAGCTGACGGCCAGGCAACAGCTGGATTAAACAGTAGCCTGCGCATTGAGACACTATAACCACACCTATGTCAGCACCACGTGAAATGGGTCTAACAACGTCATTCGTTTATCGGTTTGGCACCAATGTAGTCATTTCCAAGGGACATAAGCCATGGTGTGTTTACTGTGGACATAGAACTCTCGGGAAATGTGGAAAATGTGAATCGATATAACGCAAAATATAAATTAATTACTTCTGATATTTGTACTGATTTGGCTATGAAAACTACTTGAACAAACACTTTTTATGATGACTGACTGACTGACTGACTGACTGAGTTTGGTTTTACGCCGCTTTTAGAAATATTCCAGCAACATCACGGCGGGGGACACCAGAAATGGGCTTCACACATTGTACCCATGTGGGGATTCGAACCCGGGTCTTCGGCGTGACGAGCCAACGCTTTAACCTCTAGGCTACCCCACCGCCCCCTTTTTATGATGAAAAAGTGCAAGACAAAAAGATAAATTTTCGTATAAACTTACACTTTAAACAGCGGTCGGAAAATTGAACTGAAATTATGTGCGCATAGCAGAGATGATTTCAAATTTGCCTGTCAAACTTTACAAAGATCTATCCTAAACTCACTTCATTAAAATTATTTATGCTACACTGAAATAACATGTAAGTCTTTGGAAATTACGTCAAGTGTCCGAATATATAGAGTCTGTATGTTATGTAAGCCGTTCACCCTCCAGACTACAACACCCCTCCCCCATTCAGCCACGCCTCCCTATTTTATGCAGTGGAGTGGAATCTACTCGACTTAGAGATGCAGTCAGCGTTCACATGAAGGTTTATTTTGAGTTGTTGCCATGTTTTTGGTGTTTTGTTCGGGTTTTGTTTGGGTTTGGTATTGTTGTTTTGGGGTTTGGGGGCTATTTTCCATTTATCTGTGTGGGGGTGGGGTGGGTGGTGTGTGTGTGTGTGTGGGGGTTTGTGTTGTTGTTGTTAATGGCAACGCTGCCCCAATTTTCGACTTTTAGAAAACAACGGTATGCTTGAATAAAAATAATAAAGCATTATGTGGTGTGCATTTAATTGCCTTTTGAGGTCGACTTGTTAGGTCGAGATCAAACCAATATGTCACAAACGCTATAGCACTGCGGCAGAAACCAGAAATGCGTTTCCCTCATAGTACCCATATGGGGAATCGAACCCGAGACTTCATCGAGACAATCGAATACTCGAAACACTTGGCTACCCGACTGTCATGCGCCGCGCCGTTAATTGTGACAGTACGAGCGTGGACACAATGCAAACTACAGCCTGGAGCTAACTGCATCTGTCGGCAAGGACGTGAAATACTGAATGGAAGCAACGCCTGGAGCTTACTGCATCTGTCGGCAAGGACGTGAAATACTGAATGGAAGCAACGCCTGGAGCTTACTGCATCTTCCGGCCAGGACGTGAAATACTTAATGGAAGGTACGCCTGGAGCTTACTGCATCTGTCTTTCAAGGACGTGAAATACTGAATGGAAGCAACGCCTGGAGCTTACTGCATCTGTCGGCAAGGACGTGAAATACTGAATGGAAGCAACGCCTGGAGCTTATGTATCTGTCGGCAAGGACGTGAAATAATGTACGTATTACTGAAATAGTTACACCTATAATTATAATGTATGATATGTATTATAGCAGTTTTTGCAAATAGTTATGTAGGTAACTCCTACCATTTATTCATAGTGTTGTGATGCAGTGTTTTACGATGTGCGACAGTGTATCATCCTCTTATACATTGTACCTGGATATTCAGTTAGCGGCATTGGGGTGCTGTGTTCAGACTTTACTCGATTTAGACAGAATGATTTGGAAAGTGCTACAATGATCTAATCCCCGAATCGTCTGCCAAAGAGTGGTATATAAAGGGAGTTATATCTTGCCTCTCATCTTACATTACATCTCAGTACAAAAGGAGACCAGCATTGTCTGTGATGGTGAAACCCTGGACACTCTCTGCTTAGCCCTTTCTTCAAAGTTAAATTACTGATGTCGAGGTGAATATTACCATCATTGGCTTTATTGCTCTCATCACTGCTCTTATGTTATGGTACCCGAAGAGAGAGAGAGAGGGGCGACTGAATGGTAATTTAACTGACTGGATCTGACATGGATTCAGCCTTGATTATTTAAAGAACGCCCTTTTTAGCTGGACTTCAGCCGAGTACTATATGTATTTCATATTTGTATGCCCTTCACAAGTGGATATATATCTACAGTTGTCTACCTGCGTACGTTAATATATACGGTCAATGCCAGAGAATAACCGGTTTCACTTCTATAGGTAAAAGGTAAAACGTATGTAAAAGGTCAACTACTGGAATAGATCGCCAAGATCTGGGGAAAGGTGCAGGCCTGTTCTACCCGAACTGTAGATCCCGTCACACACACAATTTGAATACGAAAGTACGCGTTTGCTGCCTGATGTCACACAACAGTAAACACCTGTAAGCACAGACAAGCAAGTGATCGAAGCACCAGAAAAAAGTGACACAACAATGTTGCTGAAATAAAAACGATGTGTTGATTTGGAATAATGTTGAATTACCTACAGTACTTCTACCATACGACGGCGAACTGTGCACAACTGCGTCCTGACAACACATTCTAGTGACAGCGTGTTAAGTGGTATATAAACAAATTATGATTTGTCAATTTCAAATTAAGTCTGCTACAGTGTATATATGTAGAGATTTTGCTGCTCTCCCTCAAAATCCAAAATCCTATCTGTGTTTAGGGAAATATACACATTGTCGTTCAATCGTCTACAACAATATTGTGTATGAACGTATATTGAATACAGTTCTGGTCATTGACTGATTCTGTGATTAGCTCGCCTGTACCCTCATAGCGTTATCGTGTAATACCCTTGCATTGATGTAAGTCGCCTGTACCCTCATAGCATTATCGTGTAATACCCTTGTGTTGATGTAAGTCGCCTGTACCCTCATAGCGTTATCGTGTAATACCCTTGTATTGATGTAAGTCGCCTGAACCCTCATAGCGTTATCAGGGGCGGTGGGGTAGCCTAATGGTTAAAGCGTTGGCTCGTCACGCCGAAGGCCCGGGTTCGAATCCCCACATGGGTACAATGTGTGAAGCCCATTTCTGGTGCTCCCCGCCGTGATGTTGCTGGAATATTGCTGAAGACAATCATCTTCTAAAGCAGTTAAGTGTAATCATAGACATGGGACATCATTGCGTCAAACCATCCCCACATGTAGTCGGCAGATATTTAATTGGTCCGTTAAGAAAAAGGTCACAAACCATCCCTACTTCATGGACAAAGAAAGATAATTATTACACATCTCTAACTTCTAGCAGAGAGAACTGGGACTGTCCACGTTAAATGGTCAAGTATTTCCGACTTTGGTCATGCTGTGGGTGCACGTGGTGTTTATTGTGTAATGCCGGACGCTGCTGCTACACTGCTGCTACACTGCATCCGATGGCGGAAGGCTCTACCCAAGAACAATGATGGATGTTGTAACCTTGGTGGAGTAGCTTTGAAAAGAGATAATTATATTTTTCAATGTTTGACATACCTAGGGGAAATCCCTCCTCACCGCCGGGGTCACGTTGACCTGAAGACCAGAAAGGAAGTGAGATGTATTAATTCAGGTTATCTGTTCTATGTCATGACTGCTCTGAAGTATAAACCGAAATAATGCAACAACAAAATTAGGGCAATCTTTTTTTTTTGTCAAGGACAGCATTTCCCGCTGTTATGTTTTGGGGGCATGTATGCATCATGTTAAGGCAAATGTTTGGGTTATTGTATAACATGTTAAGTTCTATGATCACGGCAACACGTAACACACAACAGGTCGGTGATATCAGAACATACCAAACATACATAAACATACCAAAGAAGGCAACTCAGAAAGTCGCCGACCCTGATCAAATGATAATTTTTAGTGGCATCTTACGGCAATAATATGTCATCAAAATTATAATGGACAGATCTTAACTGGAGCTGGATGACTTAAAGACACAATGCGATGATAGATTAACAGAGCTGTACTCTTTACACTTGAACTACTTATTGGAATTAGTATTGGTGACTGAAATGAGTACAGAACAGATTTACTTACTTTTCTTCTTCTTCTTCTTCTTCTTCTTTCTGCGCCTCAAAAAGAAATGAACAGTTACTCATACAATCAATATTATTACATGTGAAATCTTTCAGGACACTTTTCTTCGCCAACAGTATTGTAAGCCTCCTGAAGCCAGTGAACCTTCAGATGACTGAGATGAGGTTTTGTAAACTAGTTCAACATTGAACGAGAATAGTTGGCAATACTACATCAGCTTCGACTGTATTATTTGTAACAGGGCAGCTTGCAACCCCATTTACAGGCATGTCACTATGAATCATGTTTGGTGATTAAGATTGAATCACATAATTATTCAAATAACATATAAGTGTATCAAATAAAATACAGGTTGTTTTACACTTTGTTCTTGTACGGTATAACTATTTCATGTAGAAACGTGTCGGACTCCGAGCAGCCATGTTGGTCTATTCCGAACCAACTGTGTGTCATAACAAATTTGCCGTGGATGAAGTGTCATTACTTGGCCGAATTGTCATTTGTTTTCTACGTGAACAGGAAGTTAATAAACTCTCTAATCGTTCCTGTTAAAGCAATATGCATATTAGAGTCACAGGATCGATTGTCCAGTATTTGTTGTATATGCTAACAATTCCAGGCAGTATTAGGAATGAACGAATGGACTTCAATATATTGAAATTATATGAAGGATGTTAACGAACCCAAAGCATGGCACCAAACGTCAAATAGGGCAAGAAGGTAACATTTGTTATTTGATTGGTTGCTTACAGTCTGCCCAGGATAACCCTGTTTAATCGAGTACTGTGCAAAGCCTGTCAAAAGCTACAAACATGATTTTACATCGTCAGTAGTTTGTGAAATAAAACAATACATGTATACAAATTTATAGTGTTAAACATACCTTTCTTGCCAGAATAAATGGTAAATACTTTTCACCATTTACTTTATTACATTACGGACGATCGATCGAGGTTTTTGCACATAATATTTGTCAAATTTTCAAAAGGTACAAACGTACTTTGGTGAACAATTACTAAATTGAAAAAAATTACAAATACTTTACTGTCTCCTGCCTAAATTGCTGATCTGCAGAACTTGTTACGGGATGGATCGTATAACTGATGAGTAAGTGGGTTACTGAAGATCAATTCTAACCCGGATCTTCACGGGTTATAACTGATGAAGCGTGGATGGGGATGTGTTTTCATTCATGATGAGAGGGAGTAATAACACATGGAATTACTTATTTCAACATGAACAGTGCTGATTATAACTGAGGTCGTTCAAAACATATTATTCTATCTGTATAATAGGACCAAGCAAACACTATGATTGATGACAAACAAATGTATGACCTTTCGTGACCTTTGGGTATCGGCTAACATTGACTTACGAAACTGAAATTTGATCAATATTTGTTTTAATGTCTGATACATTCAGCAAAATGCACATGGGAAGCGAAAACACTCTCATCTATGGATCAAAGCCGTGGGATTAACGGTCTTTGACATCTTAATAAGGTCACGGTCAAAAGTGTCAAACGCCCCAACCAGCCTGTTATAGAAGACAAAGCCAGTTGTTCCGCAAACTTATATTTGGAGTTGCTTTCTCCACTTTGTTCCTAATTAGCTTATAAGTACGACATAGCTGGGGCCATTTGAGGTGATCCATGATGAAATAATGACAGTGCTTTAGACCAGGACACGTTTCAGCGTTGACGATTCTTACTATGTTGTTCATGTGATAAATTTTTGTCCTATCGGACATGTGCTGCATTTTCTTGGCTTAAACATAAAGTGTACTAAATGTATACATCGGATGTGCAAGTCGGGCTTTGTTCTGCCATATGTTAGTATGAAGACAATTCTGCAAGACTAATGGAAAATAGAGACACAATTATCGTGTTTTATGTTTATTCCCATCCTGATATTCCACACGAGACTTGTTCGGTAAAGGACATCAGGGCGAACCTGTGAGGTGCTACTGTTGTTTGTACTGTACAATCAATGTATTGCTCACAAAGTCATACATTAGAAAGTCTTTTTAGAAAAAGCTCAAGGTATCCCGGATTTGGACAAACTGTTGGCTTAGATCTCCCATTGTCCATACATACATTACACGTATAAGAGGCAATGCCTATTGTGTGTCTCTTGTGTTTCTTTCTTTTCTTTGCGTTGAATGTTTCTAAGTTAAACGATAGTCTTGCTGGGGGAGGAAGTTTCGCAGTCAAGCTATCTTCAAAGAAGACAAGTGTCACGATCAGCAATTTGAGAAAACATTACGGAAATTACATTTTGTTCGGTAATAGCCGACACTGCTCTGATAATAATTTCTTATGCTTAAAATGCCCGAACTTTTCTGCATATTTTCTGTATGAAAGAAGACACATGGATAAGCATATGAATTCAGGTGGTGAACTTCTGGAAGAAATCACAGTACACGTACTTTGGCAGACAAATGATACATCGTTTTGGTATAAAACATTTACAATAATGTAAACCACGTCTAACTTTGTAGACAATTGGCGATCCGGGTGAGAACTGGTCTTCAGCAACCACTGCTCATCGTTAGAGGGGACTAACGGGGTCGGATGGTCGGGTTCGCAGACTTGCTTGACACATGTCATCGTGTCCCAGTTGCGTAGATCTATGTTCACGATGTTGATCACTGGATTGCCTGGTCCATATATTTACAGACAAACGCCATACTGCTGGAATGTTGCTGCGTGCGACGTAAATTAAACCAAAACAACCGGCCAACCAACGTCTGATATTCTATGTATTTTGTCAAATGCACTTACCTATAAGAGTGAATCCCACTTGAATATTTCTCCACTATCAATAATGTTTAATGGAAACAATGTTTCAGGAACCTTTACTCATCAATAACTCCTCTTGGCATCAACTATTGTATGTGTTCTTTTATTGATCTTCGTGACTACAACCACCAAATGATACTCCCACCAAGACTTCACTCTTCAGGGGCATGTCACAATACACTGCACATCACTGCAAGTAATATAAATCGGTAGTATTGTTTTAGTTGAGCTGTTATTTTTCACATCTTCTTTTCATGTGACGCAGCTCGAAATAAATTTGTCATTTCAATGCGTCGCTATCGGCGCATAATAAATATTGTCTCGTGCAGATCTCGTTAGAAACTGGTTATTCAGTAACCCATGTCAGTTAAGATCGAGATCGGGTGGTCCATTTGGCTTGGTGATGCTGTCACCATATCACAGCTGTCTGTGTCGATGATCATGACATGAATATAGGACGATTATTGAAAGGCCACTGTCATATAGCTGGAATTTTTCTGAGTACGATGTTAAAAGACAGGCAAGCAGCAACATGCCAAGCTATTCTTTGAGATTTCATGAATTCATTAATCTTATTTCGATAAATACCGTACAATACAAGTACTGTGGCGATGACCTGGGTTTCAACTTAGTTCACTCATGATGTGTTTAGTTCATTGTGGTCACGGTTTATTCACTGTGGGCAGATCGTGCACTGATCTATCGGAGGTACTCCATATTGTGTATTTCCTTCTTGATAAATCATGTTTAATGAAAACCGAGTGTTCTGGATATTTCCCAATTACTAATTCATTGTCATATCAACAGTCAGTGACCCTGAACCTGACGATAACAGCCAAAGGATTCTCCCATCAAGGCACACATGTCACTCTTATCCTTGACCAGATAGGCACATCACAATGATTGTTAAATGAAGCCGGATTTTCAGTTCAAGTCTGTATTTTGTCCCGATCAATGGGATCGGCTGGTTAATATGGCTGATGCTGTCACTCTGTGCCTGTTGTGTGGATCGATGTCCATGATATGGATTCTCTGGTTGACTGCCAATTATTATTACTCGCCAGTGGAAGATAATGTAGTGTACTATTTCTACGGCAATATTACACTAATGTAATATCGCTAGAGGTATCACATCATAGTTATGACATCACACTGCTATTACCTCTATCACAGTGGTATTGAACCTTGCTGAAAGCCATCCCACTGTAGGCAGTTTCTATCAATTTATGTTTGAGAGTAATAGACAGAATACTAAATTCGCTTACGTGAAATAGCATTTTTAATTAAACTCGTATAATAAATATGGTATTACACGAAAGGGCGTTTGGTATCCTCTACCTATCTGATGGTGAATTAATCACAGGCTACTATCATAAAACTGGCATATTGTCAACTGGCGATAAACAGCAAATGAACAAAACAAAGAGTTTGTTAGAACTTACCATATGATGATAGCCACTGCGCCCACAAGGATAAGGATAAGGACAAGTACTGCTACAACAACTGGAATGATGACCTGGGAACTGCTTGTCGGTGACACACCTGTGGTAACGGTGGTATGACTGCTATAGGTAGTACCTGCACAATGATATATAAAAGCATGTATGAGAACTTGAATATACAAAGTCCACAACGCTGAATAACAGAAGGGACGATAGCGGTTAAGCAGTTCCACATATGTTTGTAACATTTTATACATGACACTCTGAACATTGTACATCCATTAAAATATAATACAGCTTTTGGATTAAGTGTATCAAGATGGTATTGGAAATGGAATTTCACATTTGTCATCGTTCACATTATATGTTCTGCTTTCTCTCATCTTACATTAATGTTTTAAAATTGTTTTACCTTGATGCACGGTGTAAATCTCTTGGGAAGTCTCACAGAAGTCGCCGATGTGATTTTCTCTACAGCCCAGTGTACAATGTCCATTGTGCTGATTACAGATGTCTCCTTGGCAATTTTTGCTGCACGGTTCATTACACTGGTCACCGTACACACCAGCTTTGCATCCTTCGAAGCATTCTCCGGTTTCTTTGTGACAGAGCACTATGCCATTTGGAAGAGGTTTACAGTTTTTAGAACAATTTTGACTACAACCATCCCCATATTTTCCAGGCGCACATTCCTCTTCACCTTGAACAGTCAGATCTGAAATATGTTGAAGTTGATCCACATTTCAAGTTTTGTCATAGCACAGATAACATACCCTTTCAGGCATATACTTCAATGTCAGGAAAATTATGCCAGAAATCTGAATTTAAAAGAATTCAGTGTGAAACTATCAACAAACGATGAATGTTTAACAACAAAGAAGTTGATCTAAAGATTAACTAAATATTCGATAAACACCATGATGACATTAGTGGTCAATCTTCCCAAATATACCTGAGATGAGACTCCAGGGTGAAGACAACGCATGGCTCTGTTCTATAAAGCCATCGTAAGTCTGTCAAAGTCTAGGAGTCTTTTATTACCTAAGCGTTACGATCGCGTCGTGGAACGGAGCCTTGAACTTGATGTTAAGTGAGATAGGACAGAGACAAGCACCTGCATCTTTATTATCTGTTGTAAATATCTCCTAAAACATTTCGTTACAGGATGGATTGATCTATGTAGTTCTAGCAAATGCCCTATTACCTTAGGCTCCCTTTCTATATATGGTAATTAGCACACCAGTGCCTTCTACTGATTGTTTTTTACAATGATACTGCCTCATAACACAATATGTGGGGTGCAATCGTCATTGAAAACATGTTCCAGGCACTTGTCATTGCTTGAATATGTCCATATAGTGTGTATACTAATCTCACAAACGACTTAAATGGGCGATCATATAAACGACACGCACGCGGGCACGCACATACGTACAAACAGGCTGCATCGGACCCGCACTGAACTGGCGCGTGTGGGAAAGCAGCTCTCTGATTGGTTGATTTGTTTCAGTCTTACTATCGTTATCGTACATGTGGAACATTCCGTGTTGTAAGACCAAAGATCGCAGCTTGATCAAAGCAATAACTGTATGCTATTGTGATTTATTTCTAGCCTTTGAAAAGATACTGCAGTGTAATATTTTACGGCAATATTACACTATCTGTTTGATTGGCATTTAGAAGCTGGTGACTAATAAGAAAGTAAGAAAGTTTATGAATAACAACTTCTTTATTATATTTTTTTTTTCTTTTAATATTACACTAGTGTAATACCGGTAGACGTATGACGCCATACTGGTTTACAGTTATGACGTCACACGTCACAGCGGTATTAGACCTTACGTGACTTGCGTAAATCTGAGTCTTCACACTGTAGGCAGTTGCTATCAATTTATGTTGGAGAGTAATAAACAGGGTCCCTATTGTCGCAAGTGTCCCAGCTAATATGGACCATAACTAGTTAGGAGAGGAGTTAGGACATCCTACCATTAGGATAAGACCAATTCTCGAAACTATCCTATCCCTGTCCTAACCTGAGCTACCGATCCTAGATAGGGCAGCGAGCTCTTCAGTAGGTGAGATATGTTACTGGGGAGAGGTGTACAGTTTTGAGAACAATTTTGACTACAAGCATCCCCTCTTCACCTTGTACAGTCAGATCTGAAACATGTTGAAGGTGATGCACAGTTCAACTTTTGTCATAGCACAGAAAACACATCCCTTTAGATACATACTTCAATTTCAGGACAGTTATGCCAATTCAGCGTGAAACCATCAGTAAACGATGAAATGTTTAACAATTAAGAAGTTATTATTTGGATGAACTATATTTACGAATTAATGCAGAGATATTGTAATAGCGCTCAAGTCAAAACATGTCACTACGTTTCGTCTTGTGACATACTTTTTCAGAAAAAAATGGGAGCAGTGGAAAACATTATGTTCCACTACAGGAAATATGATCAAAAACTAAAACTAAATGGACCATACCAAAACACTAAATTGACCATACCAAAACAAGAAATTAGCCCCAATATGCAGTGTGTGTACATGTTGAATTTAAACACACCCAGGAACTATTTCAGTTAAAAAAACAACATGATTTTGACTTAAAGTGAGGAAAACCAACTGCCCTACGTGCGACTGTCCACTATGAACTAAGAAATGAGAAAACAAAACCCGATTCTGCATGGGTCCGTGCCAGTAACACGTTGACATCCAACTTAATTCACTGTTTAAGAGCTGCCATTTTCATGAACCACGAACAAGAATCTGTTATTGAAAGTCTTCATCTGATTCTTCCTGGCGGTTTATGTATAGAGAAAAATCTGTAAAATTATGTTACCTGCTACCCTTCAATATGGAAAAAACGTTTGGTTTGACTAAGAAATTGTTACAACGAGATAGCCATATCAAATTGGCTAATATAAAATGCGGCAAATAAAATCCCATTTGTACACTTTCTGTTCATTGTCTGAGCAAATGGTTACATTAACAGAAATGTTTTAACAAAACCAAAGGAACAGTACCTGAAAAAAATAGCACTTTCAACGGATCTACACTCAGTATATTGGTTTATCAGAAGTAAAAAGATAAGGAAGTCGTAATAGAATGCAACACAAGAAGGGAATGCCGTTCAGACAGACTCAAACTAATTAGTTCTATTTGCAAATATCCAGTTTCAGTCAAAAAGAAACTGTTTATCAGGGTATCAAAAACCTTTGATACAAAGTCAATAGTCATTCCTATTATAAAGGAGATCACATCCATCTATACACTAGTATTTGCTTATATATACCATGACAAGTCTGAGAGTCCACTCTAGTCAGTTAGTCTAGATCTCTTCTTGTTGGTTTATGGCCTCCTGTTATGACACTGCCCTTGACATAAACTAAACTTTATTTTCATGCGACTTCTAAACCTGTCATAAGAAACCATTCTATTTTGTCTTAACAAAGTCTGCTTCGATGCTTCTCTACTTGTGAACTTATGAACCATGATGAAACAGTGTCATTTAGCTTTTCAAAGAATTATTGTGAAAAGTTCCTCAGATTTCCATGAAGTCGGATCATTAGTTTCATAAACCATCACAAATGTTTGCACCCACTGCTTGTACTTTTCACTGTGAGGCAATTTCCGACAAATATAGGTTTCACAAGAATGGTGCAGCTAGATGAGGATTCACTCCACAGAAAGCATATTTCCTTCACTCCTGGGTGACTTGGAAGAAACTCTGCTATGGGAATAGACTGGGAAATCTTTCAATGCTCTGATCAGGTAAAATCTCGGAACATGAATTATCCTGAAGCTTTATCATTCTTGAAGTGAAATTCTACACCAAGACTCTGCACAAATCTGTGAGAACTAGAGACACGGATGTTCACACTGTCACATCTTAAACATTGTCCAATACCCTCAGTTCTGTGATTAGATGCTATGTGCATCTGATCTGTTATGCGTAAAGCAAGTGAGGCAAATCTGGAACTCTTCCAATGATTGGATTAAAGTCAAACAATGGAGGATGAACACGGTCCAGCGTGACTTTCTTGTGGCCATCATAGATGTTTCCTGTACAGCTTTTGCTCTCTGTGAAACATCACTGGCTGACCACTGCAAACTGATGTCATAAAATTGTAGGTGAAAGATCATGATGAGATTCCCGGGACATGTTCACAAACTTAAGATCACCACCTAAGTAAAAAAAATCCCTATCAGAGGTTACAGTCTTTTCAGTTAGGGAAACGAAACACCCTTGACCATCTATCCTTTGTGCCTGTACTGATAATGCGTCTAGATCATAAGTGTTCATGAAAAATAAGGCCTATTTTACTAGCATTTGATTTCGTCTGTAATGCTGCGATCTAGACAAAGTGTTTACGTTTGACAGCACTTTCAGTGTTCGATGATTTTTTTCAATGAAAAGGTATGGTCTTCGTCAACAACGTTTGAAGTATTTAACGTTCCTAGATTGCAGCCTTTTATCACGTTTTATCCCCCCGGCATGTAATGCAGGGGTATACAGTCGACGCCTTGTCCATCCGTCCGTCCGTCCGTAATACTTTTTTTTCCGGTGCATAACCGTTCGATATTTTTCAACACAAATTGGTAGATATATTAAACAGAACCTAAGGTGGTGCCTTTTGCTATTTACAGATCTTTGTCATTTTTATTTTTATTTGTTTCCATGGAAACGTTTTGGACTTAGTCTTAAAGGGAGGGGTGGGCTTCTATTCCGGAGCATAACTTAGAAACTGTTCACTATTTTTCTGCACATCTTGGTAGATATATCAAACAGAGCCTAAAGTGGTGCCTTTTCCTATTTACAGATTTTTGTGGTATATTATTTTTTCGGTTTCCATGGAAACGATTCGGATTTAGTCTCAAAAGGGGGGAAGGGTGGGTTTCGTTTCAGGACCACAGCTCGTAAACCGTTCAGTATCTTGCAACAGAACTTGACAGATATATGAGACAGATCTTGAAGTGGTGCCTTTTGCTATTTACAGAGTTTTGGCATTCATATTTCTCATGATTTCCATGGAAACGATTTATGTAAATAAGATGCAGCACAGGTGATACTTTGTCAAATAAAACAAATGTGATGTTTGATCCAGAAAAAACCCACAACCCCGTCACAAATACCTTTACTCAAGCTGTTTCCTGTAGGCGTAACCTTCTTGAATTTTTCCAATTCTTTTAGTATTAACACTTTTAAGGTTATCCTAATCAAATTGTTTTCATAGTGTTGAGCCATAAGGTTTTTATTCCCTGGATACGTTGAAGCTGCTAACAAGTATTAGGGTGATTACAACAAAATACAAATATTTCATATCGGGGGTCATATAATCACTTTCAAACTATTGTTCTAGTTTTAGGCATATTTTGAATTGTCAGGACAGGGTCTGAAAGTCTGGCTACAGCAACTATGTGTTCTCAGTGTACATCTCAAAAGGTTAATATTCACCATGTTTCCTTTCTCCCTCACAAAGAAGAATCCCCGGCCGTGTCATACCAAAAGACGTTAAAATATGGTACTTGTTGGTCCCTGCCTGGCGTTCGGCATTAATGGGTACAACAAGGACTGGTCGGCTCGGAGTCAGCATAATGTGTCTGAGTGGGGTATTCATGCTTCACTGCGGCATGGTATCTCAGTGGGCTAGCACTATAAAACCAGCTGAAGTCTGGGCTAGTACAAACAGCCGCACATACACATACACA